TGAACAATGCCAGAGAAAGCCCGCGGACAGTCAAACCAAATTTGTTCAACAAATCTATATAGACCCTTTGTGCTAGGTTCTTTGTGATCAAGCACTCAAGCTTGCCTAGAAGGCCTGAATCCTTTAAAGAATCCACGCCCCGCCCCACCCCGGAGATTGGATCCCCTCACCCTGCAACCGAGCGCAACCGAGTCCTAAAGCCCACAACCCTTGGAGCCAGCAATTTTCAGCATCTCAAGCATACAAGCAAAAGTTGAGCTGACACGTCTCTGCGCGTTTCAGACATTGCTATCTGCAATGCCTCGTTCAACCCCTGGAAATTGTGCCTGTATCCTTGAAACCAGCTGCCAAGGAAACTTTCTCTCTAAATTCAGCTTCATGCCACTGCTTTGCATGATGTTCTCACTGTAGCCTGAGGCTTCGGCTACCAAGGAGGGAGCCTCCACGGCCTTCGAGGAGAGCCCACCCCACCTGGAAATCGGTCATCCTAATGCGTAGTATGAAATCCTATGCAGTCATGCATCATCCCGGTAGGAAGGACTTTCACTGAGGATGCCGAAACTGAAGCATAGAACGCTGTCTTCACACTGATCATGATCACAACATGGTGACAACCTTCATGACAACAGGCAGTGTGGCCATAGCATAGGGAACATCAGGGGAAGAGGATGATGCAGGTTGTCTTTGCTGGCGATGTCTTGGGGCAGGGGCAAGACTGATTGGCTCATGTGTTCTTAGGCTGGGAATTAATGTTGGACCTGCTTTACACAAGGGATCCGTTGTCATAAAATTGTTTGGGGGGAATTATTGAAGATCTGGTTCGTTTGGAAGTGTCCAGAACAATAAAAATTGTGGGGCCCAGAATGTTCAAAATAACAAAAGTTATTGCCTAAATTTGGTCTGCTTTAGCTAAGCCAGCTCCACATAACCCGCTTTTTCGGGATTATACGAAATCGTACGATCCGTCAATTTTTGTGGGGGCGTAGTCCAGCAGGTGCCTGGATCCACTGTAAGCAGTTTGTGTAAGGGGTCCGGAATAATGGTACATTTTCCAGCCGCCAAAATGTTCACCAAATAACATCCAGTTTAATTTGATCTTTAAATGGTTCTCATTGAATTTCAATTTGCAATTGTTTTAATTAGGTTGTCAATTGGTTTTAGTTGGATTTGAATAGTTTTGCTTCATGTTGATTAAACTCCCACTTGATTTCAATCCGATTTCAATTGTTTTTACCCAAGTCTCAATTGATTTTCAATTGGTTTTCAAACAGCTTTCAATTAGATTTCATTTGGTTTTAATTGTGTTCTCAATTATCCCAAAAAGAGCTTCCCGGATGTTATTTAGATGTTCGACTGGTTTTAATTTGATTTCAAATTCATCTTAATTAAGGCTCGATTGAGTCTAATCGGATGTCAATTCAGTTTGATTTTAAGTAGGCGCTCATTCGATTTTGAATTGGTTTCAGCTGGTTTTGATCTAATTTCAACTGGATTTACTTGAACCTTAATTGGTTTAAGTAGATTCCCAACTGATCTCGATTAGCTTCTACTCAGATTGCAATTAGATTTCAGATGTCAATTGGTTTGGGTTTGAACTGAGACTTAGATGGCAATTAAATTTGATGCAATTTTAATCAATTGATTTTCTTTTTGATTGATGTTAATAAGATTTTCAATTGGTTTTGCTGGTTTAATTGGATTCCGCAGAAAGTTCAATGCTAATGGTAGTGCCAGTACGAACACGAACACGAAAAAGAATGCCAGCTTCGAGGCTACTACGGAGATTCATTGTTTTTATCGATTTGAATTGCGCGGCAAGTTTGGGGGGGTGGCTCCGTATTAAACAGAATAGTCAATTGTTCAGGCGGGGGGGGCATACTAAAGAGGGTCCAACATCATGTTCACGTTTGATCAGCTGATGCGCTGCTGACTTTCGGCTTACGTGAGCCGCTACTCCTACATGCAAGAGCATTCCCACACGGCAGTACGGTGTACCTGAATCATTCGAACTTCGGATTAAGCCGTCCATGCGTGATTGGGACATGCAAGACACCAGCATTGAAGCGCAACACTCTCATTTCATCTTCTAGCAGTTTGAGACGCGTGAGACCCCAGGCATGCCACAAAGCTTCCGAGCCGCTGCTTTGGGTTTTTTTGGAAGCTTCGGCCGCAGCCCTGCCATAGCGCCTCACGTCGTATCCGAGCCCAAGGAGGGTGTATCAACCTGAGGCTTACGCCTGGTGACTCACGGGTCAGTTTGAAGCAAGCAGGTCGGTCACAAAGTGAAGGATGTGCTGGTTGCCGGTGGTTCTGGCTCCTGAAGCCTTTGCCTCCACCTCATTGATGCATAGAAGATAGATCTCTTTTTGAGAACTCGGACGGGAGACCGATTAAACCTGGTGACAAGTAGTTGGACAATGTTGGCGTCTAGCCTAAGCTCTAGGATCTTGCAATCTTCAATTTGGCAGTCTGACTATGAGTTTCAACTTCTGCTTCCTTGTGGTTGGTGCATGAACCCCAGACTCAGACCTTTCCTCACTCGAACGGACAGACAGGCACACATACTGGCGGACGGCTGACGGCAAGAAGAGAAGACTCCAGTGAAGCCCCAGCAACAGGGCCACATACCGCGGTCTGCCTCCTCGGCGGCACTGTTGGTCCATGCCTGCGCACATCGCATGAAAATGGTCGCAATCAATGATGGGCCTCCCAGCGTCTGCATTATGCAATAAGCGGTCATGCTCGTTAGCCATGAAAAGAGGGATTTCTGAAAAACATTGCCCCAAAAGGAGAACAATATCTGACAGGCCTTGAAGACGTCAGAGTTCACAGGCTCCTTTTTCCACTCCATACCTGGTTTTTTGTAGCAAAAAAACCCAGATGTTGGCTCCAATTTGGCCGAACACCGGCGCTGTCTCAGGAACAGGGGAGGTTGAAACAACAACACATGATGGTGGTTTTGCTGGCTTTGAATGCTGTGAAGTTTGAAATAGTGCTGATGCTGATGATGCTTGCTCCCCGGAAAGCTCAGCAAGCAGCATCGAATGCTCACGATTCTGCTTCGGAAGGAAAACTGAAACAACAATGCAGCCAATGCTTGTGATGCCAGTGGGGGCCGGGGGTGATGTTGGAAGCAAGAACTGGCCGAAGCTCGTAGTCGTAATGCTGGCATGGAGCAAGGTGCAGCAATATGCGAGGTCACAGTGCTGGAGGGGACGTTGAAAGAAGAAACTGATAACACTCTGATGATACTTTGTAATGATGGCTGGTGATGCTGGCTCAGGGCAGTGTAGTTGGCACAAATTTGCTGATGCACATAATCCTGACGCGGCTACGAACTCGAGTCTGCTTATGCTCACAATGCTGGCTGAGGGTGCTAGGACAGCTGAAAAACGGGATAATGCTCATCATGATGGCAAAGAAGAAGCAAGAACGCGGCTGCCATTCCTTCAACCTGAAACCATGTGTTTACTGCAAGCCAAACTTCTGTAAGTCCAGGAGTCCACCTGAGCCACTGGGTTCAGGCTTGGGGCTTTAGCTAGTTGCCTTCGTGTCAGGTGAACCATCCACCAAAACGCGCGCATTACATTACAGGAATCTCCCCGTGATCAGGAGTCAGAACGATATGAGTCGGCGACCCTCCTTTGTTAGGTATAGAACGATTCTTACAGGTTTACTGAACATCTCGAGGCCTTATAGCTAGGATTGAAGTTCCACAATCAACGGGTGTACTTGTAACAGCTCTCTGTTGCTAAACATTTCCAGCAGTATGCCTGAATGGTCTTGTCACCCTGCTTCTTGCGCTCGGTGCGCTTGTCCTTCGCTCATCTTCTACAAGTCCAACTCTGACTCTACAACCTGTTATGTCAAGCCTTTGACTCTACTTGTCAGTGGGGGTCGAGCAGCCATAGAATCCTCCATCTAAAGCTCCACCGCAGAAGTCACAACAAGACTGGAAGCAGAATTTCGTCAGCAGTCCGAGCTGGTGCCTCATGCGAAATCCCCCTCACGCCCATCGCCAACCTCGCGCCATAACAATGCGGGTCCTCAACACATTGTAGCATTTTGACTTCCTGGCGCATCTTCACCGCCTCCACAGAACTCAAAATCAGTGGTTCGGCATCTTCTCAACAACATGGCCGGTCAGATTTGTCTCGCAGCCCGGTTCGTCCGCCCAGTAGGCTCACTCATGGCGCAGCCGATTAGGTCGCAAATGCCATCAAAGTACTAGCCATGCACCAAACCCTAAACCTTTCACATAAACGGCAACACCGCGTATCCTTCCGACCACAAAGAACTTGAAATTTAGCGAAGCCCGTGAAAGTTCATTCTGAACAGCTCTACTCCGCAGTTGCACCTCTTCGCGGAAGGCCCCACGGAGCCAGGAGGCTCCAAAATCGGCCGGGGTATGCTGCAGAAGTGACTCCGCGGCCAAGGGACCTGGGTTTGTTCCCTAAATACGTCAGAGAGGACGCTGCTGAGAACATTTGAGTACGTGTATTTCGGTGCATTTCAGGTTGTGGTTTGTGGCCACAGCTCACGGCTGGGGCAGGATCTGGATAAATGCTTTTACACTGTGCCAAAACTCCACGAAACCTGACAGGAAGGCCACGGGCTAACTTCATCATCTTCAGAGGCGCAAAACAGCTTTTGCTGGCACGATGGCAATGGTGGGACCTGTTGTTGCCTCACCGCCTGCCTGGAGCAAGAGCTCTGCTTTACAATGCTTTACAATAAATCTGAAGAGCCGTCCGGGCAAAAATCAGACTTTGCTTCCCTATGCCTTCGCCATTTCCAGGAAGCCAGTCTCTAGAAAACATGAAGGTGGAGAGTCTGCCCAGCCTGTTATGGTCAACGTTGTGTTGTACCCGAGGCCTTCGCAGCAGAGAGCCCCACCTCAATGCCCGTCGGCTCCAAATTGTCGTTAAAACATCTTGCAACCCTGCGACCGTTTGACAGGGTCTGAATTTCGGCTCACAAGCCCTGTGCGCTGGAAGTCTCTAAGATGAGCCGTTCGCCAACGCAGAGAAGAATCTTGCACCTGCACAGTCCGCACCCTCGACGTCACAGAGGCAATAGGTTAAGTTTGCCCGCATCTGTGTATGGAAGGAGTAGACCAGCACCGAACAGCTCACCACGGCAAGGATTGGCAGAAAGATCCAAACGCCCACTGGCAGACGCGTGCACCGGAGAACCTTCAGTCCCCTAAAACTGCCTACAACCTCGCTCGTTCATGCTTTCCCGCTGTCCGCCAGTCGGGAGTACGTGTCTGTGCTCAAGGTGAGTTCATAATAATTTCCAGGCTCTGTCTATTGCTGCTTTAGATGCTGTGTGCCGTGTTTTTGGCGTTTGGTGTTCCCATTCCTGGACAGTGTCTGATAGGCCCAGCAAAGAACAAGAAAAAAATGCAGCGCAGATGCAACCCTGGAAAGCGAGACAGCACATGAACAATCATTCCAGCTTCCACCTTTGGTTTTTGGTAGTTGCAGCTCCCAACCAACCCACAATCGCGAAGCAAAATTCAAGCAAGCCGCAAAAACAAGAAAAAACTCACCAAAAAGTCGAACGTGCCCAAAAAAACTCAGAGCAAACGGCAAGCCCTGCTTCCCAGCCTGCATCTCAGCGTTCTAAGTAACGGCAAGAAACCAGACATTTAACATTTCCATGAATTGCAATGTTTTTCACATGAAAAAATCTTGCCAAGGACACCCTGGAAACCTTATCGACGCAGCGGATCGACTGGCCCAGTATGGGATGACACTGCCGGATGACGGCGACGTCCTGTTCCGTAGCAAAGGCCTCGAAGATCCTGAGCTGAGTTTGAGGGCTTAGCCCATTCACAATCTGGCAGTTGCGTAGCGTTATGATACATAGTGACAAAGCATAGCAGAATTCTCTCCTGATCAGCCCGGAAATCATTTCATCCACAGTGACCAGAAAGGTGAGTGCCAGGCTGTTCAGGATCAGGTCGGACACGTTGCTGACTGACAGAAGGTACCGGATTCCCACCTGGCTATGGCTTAACTGGGACTGGATCCCGAAACAACAACCTACTTTGACACGTGCCCACCACGAAGATCAAGCTCTGGAGCAGCGTCCGGGGGAGGAGGTTCGTGAGTATGGTGAGGCAGCGGATCATCCGATGAAGTCCCCGTACTTCAAGACCACCCTCATTATTTGGTGCGTTTGCTTTTGCTGCAACGCAATGCTCCTTATCCGTCAGGGTTCGCAACGAAAGGAGAACATTCCACCAAACGAGGATGATGCGGAACTCCTCCACGGCCGCCAGGCCCCAGAGGAGTGTGATGAGCAGCAAGAACAATTCCTAGGCTCTGGAGCTCACCCTGGAAGGAAGAGAATCAACGTTCAACATTAGAGCCCAGGACTTCAAAGGCACAATAAAGCAGACTCCTGAGAGCTCAGTATCGAAACCCCATGACGTCAGCCCGAAGGCAGAGCCGTTGTACTGCGTGCTACTCTCATAGGCTAAGGTCCTTTTCTCATCTTCAACCTGACCCGTTGGGACCCCGCAGATGTCGTTCCTCCGCTCCTGAAACAAGCTCGACTCAACTGCAAAAATGGCCGGGCATACTGTCTCCACAGTCCTCTTGCAGATCTCCTGTGGACGCAACTCCGCCAGTGTTTTAAATCCGGTCGTTTTCAGAAACATGGGCAGCGCATGTTCGACGGCGAAGTCCAGGGGCGGCAGCATGTCTTTCGATGCCAGGTTGGCACAGAGACCATGGTCTGGCAACATGCAGAGGTTGGCAAATGCCGCCAACTCTCTTTGAAAAACCCACTCCGGCAGGAAGGTGAAGTTCTGAATGCACACCTCCTGACTGTTGGTGTGAGAGAACTTCTGCAAACAGGTTGTGTACTGCTCAAGGTGACTTACCGACTGCATGGACAAATTCACCGGCAAGTGCGAGATTCCAGCCAGGGAAACACTTGTTGATCCGCCTCCACAAACGCAGCACATTGTGCGGACAGAGAAATCCTCATCATCGATTATGTCCACATCTGCTTCTGTGCACGCCAGGCGATAGGTTGCGAAGTCATCGCAACCGAGGTATTTTTGGCTGGTGGCACCAGCGTCTGTGTTCGTGCACTTAGGTACACTGCAGTCAAAAGGCTGACCTTCCACAACTCTTCGCAGGGAGCCTCTGGGATGTGACCAATTGGCACCAGCCCATCCACTGTTGGGTGTGGCGATTACACTGACCTGGTCGCTACTGCTGATGGCATAAATCTGAACCTCAGTCCATATGCCCCAATTGTCCATGAAGGCCTCTACTGTGTCATTGAGGCCACAGGGCATGACACTTCGGTAAGCATGACTCCTGATCTGTGTTAACACGTTCTGGTACACATCTGCCATGTTCACATGCCGGCCAGTGTCCGCAATGTACTGTGCATCAAGTTCCTTTGCCTCTGGGAAAGTCCAAACCCCATCACCGTTAAGGTCCAGAAAGTGGAAGTCCTGAAAAAGGAACACTTCATCTTGTGCACAACTGAGGCTCCCCTGTCCGGACCATTTCATGGACTCTCCTCGCTTAAAGCACAGACCTTGAGATGCAGCTTTCAATATGCCAGAATGTCCGAATAGCTCGGCATCCGTTTCGCTTCTAGCGGCCTTCAACTTTTGCCAAAGGAGATATACCACCACATACTGCGTGATGAAGTTGGCAATCAACATCCACCACGGCCTCCACTTGGAGCGGACCTTGTCCGTCCTAATGAAAGACAGCATGTGATTGTCGTAGGCGGAGCGCGCCGGAACCAGTTCCATGTAGCGCTTGCTCTCATCTATGGCCGTGGCATCAATGACTTGATTTGGATCTCTACCACTCTCCACACTAATCACTTCTATCGCTTCCACGTCCGAGATTGGCATGCTGACGGCCATGCGAGGTCCTCGAGGTCGGGCCCGGCCTGTTATAACGCGACACTGAGCCAAGAGGGCTCCGGCGTAAATCCTCAACTCGGGCGCGAGGCATGTCTGGACTAGGGAATTCAAAGCCTTGGATTGAGCAATCAGGGGCTTTGAGGGCCAAAGCGTTTGTCCCAGCACCCCAGGTAGGAAGTGAACTCTCTTGCTTGTCAGCGTTCAGTCGTGCCCAGGGAGCAAAATCGTGATAGAGTCTGATAGAGCACATATTTACATACTGGCACAAAGAAACACTCACCTCAAAGGTTGGCCAAGCAGCAGGACAAGAAGATTGGCTTTCCCTCGGTGCCTTGGCTTTGCGGCATGGACAGCGGTGGGGGTCTGAGCCTTACTTCCGTAAAACAATTCATGATTCCAGAATTGGAGAGGTCTGCAAAGAAGCCTTCAGAATATTAGGCGACAAACATTTCGTTGCCTTGAAGCATACAATGGAATCCTAGATGTATGCGTGTTTCCGGCATAGCAGACAGTCTGTAGGAGCAGTCCAGGTGCCGGTGACGTCGCCAGTACACTCAACTTCCTAGCAGGAAAAGTTGAGGGAAACGATGTGCAACCAGCTGAAGTGGCGTCAAGCAATTGGAACCCTTCGTTTTACAGATAGGGTGTGGATCCAGAAGCTACACTCTCATCATTATTACCTAGACACTTGCAACAGGCGCAGGGCTTGACAGGATCGGTCCTGGACTTCATTTGCATTGGGCTCATGTCAGGCTAGCAGTTTGGCGAAATTTCGCTTCACAGGCCATGCAGCTAGCTGTATACCCTGAAAATTCGCTGCACAGCCGTCAGAAATCCAGCGCTGGATACAAAGCCAGGTACGACAAACTGCACCGCCTGAGCGCAGCGCGGCAATAGAAAAACAGTGACCTCTGAGAGACCCGTCTTCCCCTTGTCCGCCATGACGAGGTTTACAATACTCACAACGCACAGCAGCGCCTGCCACCGCCCGCGTGTAGCCTGCCCACTGCATCTAGCGGCTTCTGGGTGCGGAGTGCAGCTGTTCAGGTTGGTTAGTTAGCACTTGGATATTCAATTCGTCGGGCGTCTAAGGTCAAATGGTTGGAAACCGTCGCCAGGCTACATCTCGCAAGACGATCCCGGGTAAAGCCTCCAGCGCCCGCTGTACGCAGACGGTGCTTGTCTCGTTGTGCACCAGTGCAATCAAGGAACCAAAGTACCTTACCACGGACTAGCAATGTAGTAAGATTGCTTGTTCCACTCCCAGAGTCCTCTGCGGCTCATGCTGTGAAGGCCTGACAAACACGGCATACAAAGATCCCCGCCCAGGCACATGAACAGGCCAAGGAAACTGCAACAAAGGGAGCCGCACCTTGGCTGATCATTGGATCAAGTGCAGGACACTCACCCACCGTACGGCCTTAAAACATCGGACCCAGAATCAACGCATCGAAATCGAAGAACGCGACTCCCACCAAGTTGCAGCTTACCACAGACTCCGCTTTCTCCCTCTCCCCCTCGCACGACACGAGCCTTGCATTCTCAGCGCTTCAAGGTCCCCCACCGCCCCCCACCCCTCCCGTTACTTCATACTTGTCAGCAACGATCTGCGAGCATCAAACCTCTTGCTTTCGGACGTGAGCTTTGGGTTCATGTCTCTGGGTCTGGCTTTTGGGCTTCCAGGCGTGGCTTCAAGAGTCCAAAGTTCCGGCCTCTTGGTATGTGCTGCCTTGCACGCGCTCCACCATGGCTGAGTGAAAGCTCGGGATGGTCGTCAAGGACTTGTTGGGTGGTGTTCATGTCTACTCAGGGCCTCTGCTACCATTCTTCAAGGTCGTGTCTCATGCAAGTTGATGGAAAGCTGGCATCTGATGCCTCAAGTGTTGTGACACGCTGTAGGCCAACGGCGAAAGCATAACTAAGACAGCAGGATGCAATTACCTGCCTACCACCACAGTCTCTTGGCAGAAGTCTAGGTAGTATGTCGCAGTGTTTCAGGGACCTAGGCCAGCATTTCTGGTGCTCCAGGCACAAGTTGTGGAAAAACTCACTGGGGAGGCCCTGCTGGGTTGAGTTCTGCAGCTTGAGAAGCCAGTTGAGCCTAACGTTTGGACCGACCCTTAAAGCTACAAACCATCTGAAGCAAAATGCCACGAACAATACGAATTGCCAGCTTGGTTTCAAACTGCCCCATCGCCAGCACCACGCACTGTAACTGAACCTTCACCATCTACCTGGAGAAACCAGGCCGATGCTAAGATACAATCCAAAACACCCAGGCAGGGCGTTGGAGCCTGGCAGCCAGGAGAAATCTTCTTCTGGCCCCGGCCTTAGCAAGCTCTGCACGTATTGACAGCAACCTGGATTTGGCAAGAACAGCCAACAGCATCTCGGGAAAGACCTGTTCACCAGTGGAGCTTTTAACTAGGGAAAGTTTTGGTGATCCGTCTTTTTGTGCGCTCCAAGTCCTGTCTGTTTATATGACAAGGACACATACACGCGCTTCCCAAGCCCCACATTACGCGGCTGCTCTCTAGCAAAGGTCTGCGCTGTCAGTGAGAAGGTACAATTGCTGCTGCTGCTGCTGCTGCTGCTGCTGCTGCTGCTGCTGCTGGCGCTGCCGCTGCTACTGCTACTGCTGCTACTGCTACTACTAATTCTACTTCTACTGCTGCTGCTGCTGCTGCTGCTGCTACTACTACTACTACTACTACTACTGCTAGTAGCAATTGACGACTGCAAGCGGGAGGAGTTCCACCATAGCTTAAACATTAGCCGTCAGCCATCACAGCACTTGACAGCCCGCCTACCGTTTCTGTTAACAGCACTCTGGACTTTACTACTACGATTGCTACTGATACGAGCTTGCTTACTTTGGCGACTGAGACAATGAATGAGCACAGCATAAGAAGGAGCAAGTCTTCTCCAGTTGCGCCAGGCGCTTCTCGCAATGGATCTGGGTTAAAATGGCGGGCTGAGGGACCCATAGTGAAGTTCACATGCGACAAAGCATCCCACTTCATAGAAGCAGGCGACCTCATGCTGCTGATGCCACAGCTCCTCAATTACCCAACCACCTCAAGCTGCTTCTGTTATGCGGCTCGGCTTCTTTCATCTACAATCACAGCAATTGGTCTAGCTAGCAACTCCACTGATGCCCGAAAACCGGTCTTCATAGTTGGCTTTGTCGCATTTGCAACACGTAACCTAACTCCTCTGAAAGAGCGTGCCAAGGCCAAGGAAAGAAGAGCCATCAGCCAAGACGTCACAAAACATAAAAAAAGAATCGGTCCCCAGCTGCAGTTACTATTGATCTCAGGGCTCAGGGATCCGTAGTGGAATTCCAGCAACGCTGATGTTAGAGCTAGGATTCTGTTCTTGTAGTTCTCCAACACAAGCCGAAATTGATAAGATTGAATCCACTGCGAAAACACAGGTCGCACCGTTGCACCCCTTCCATAAAAGCCCTGGCTTTAGAACATTAAACTGATCTCAAGTCTTCTGCCTGGCACTCTCGGACCTCAAGTGAAGTCTAGCAAAGCGGTCTCCGCGAGTACCCCAAACTTCTCATGCCCCTATGTTTTGTTGACCTGACTATGGAGCGGCGCGCAAGGATCAGAGGTACCCACCTCAAGCTTGAAAAAGTTGAATGCAGTGGCAGAAGAACATGCCCCTGAAGACGGACCATCTGCCCACAGAGCATTGGCTGTAGGTTTGCCGGGCCCTTGGATAAGACCGAGCCAACTAGCTCAGTAGCCGCCACTGGAGTACTTCTTCGTGAACTCATCCTGGCATACCAGAAGATAGCGCCTACCTTCTTGCAGCCGACTCTGGGGACCTCTCCTGCAGTCTTACCGCATCACAGTACATCACAGCATAGCAGGACAGTTTCCATAGCCCGGCAGGCCTGGAATGTCGTGAGCTTGTGCACGACGTCCTGGCCACATAAACAGGGTGGTTGGGATGATGCTTTGAGCTGCCCTGCAGAAGGCTTCAACCTGAGGCCTACACTCAGGACTTGTACAATACGTGTTGCCAAGGCCACCATGCTCACTTCAGCATGCATCATATTCTCAGTCTACGACGCACTCCCAAGGCACCTCTAAGACCTCATCCGGCGGGAGGATGGTTGTGCGGAAATGGAAAGTTTCCTGCATGGTCACATGTTCAACAGGTCATTCAGCTGCAGAAGGAACCTAGGAGCTCAAGCTTGAAAAGAACGAAGTCTTGAGAACATTTCGGCGAATGTTTTTTGAGGAGGGAGATCTGCATGACTCGTAGAGTTACCCTGCAATAGTTTGAATGGGGCCATGAGCAACTTTTGCGGAAGTTCTGCAGTGTCCCAACTTCATCGCTGGGCCTGCCTGCTGAATATGACAGCGGAGGCCATGCTAGGTGAGGATACAAATTCTGCCCAAGATGATGCAGAGTCTCAGAAAAGAAAAGTGCAGTCCTGCATCAGGATGCAACAAAATCGCCCCCACTGCATGTACACAGATGGGCACCCATGCAAAGAACTGGGCCGTCCTCCTGCTGGCCAAAGCCACTTCCTGCTCAAGACAGGGGGGCAAAAGTACGAACGCGAGGTCCCTGAACCGTCTTAGCCTCCTAGCTTAACTCTGCCGCCGTACTGCTGCGTGCTGGACAACTGAACAACGTGTAGACACGTAATCCACTGTCTGCCTACATTAGCTCTTGCGTGCAAAAGGGGCAACTCATGAAAGGTAAATCAATACTCATGAGTCATGGTGCTTCCGGACCTGCTTCTGCAATTAAGGTTCAGGCTTGAAGGAGATCCCCAGAGGAAACGTAGAGCGCCTGGAACTGTAACAATTCCCGTCTTCTCCAGCAGCTCCAGGCACCTGAGCAGTGGGCAGCTTGTTAAAGAAACACGATCCTCAACATCTACCCCACAAGACTGAAGCCCTTTCGCAATCGAGACGGACCCTTTGCTGGTGCAGGCACCACATCTCATCCGGATCTTGACGCTTCGCACTGGC